TGGAATAAAATAAATGCATCAGCTCTTCTGATTGGCGTTCATAGAGACTGCTGATCAAACTAATTAGAGTGAATATCGTCCAGTTACAATTGGTGACCAATCTTATTCTAAGGTAACAAAACAATGACAATGATTCTTATTTTGAGGTGATTTTACACTAATGAAAACATACCTGAGAAATTTATATTAATTTACAATTGCCAATAAATCCTTCTAAATGTTACACACTTGACCTTTAATGAAGGTTTAAGCTTTTGGAGCACCCCTGGACTGAAGACGAAAGAAATTGGACAGTCAAAATTTAGACCCATGTCTTTCACTCTCTTCCTTTCTGATTTGAAGATGTGCTTCACGTCCCTTCCACAACATTGGCATATGTGCCATGAGAGGTGAATGGCGTATGTGTCCTGCACCATATGGCTGGTGTTTGAATTGAGATCCAATGTGTGCAAAAAACGGATTCATCCCGCAGCTTGAGCTGCCAGCTCTCTGAAATGAACATTAGGTTCTCAATTTATGCCTGGGCTTTGACTGTAAACGTGTTACAGCTTAACACCCATCCCCATTCTGCTGCCATCCACTCCTTTTGTCAGCTGCAACGAAGAGACAGAGACAAATAATTGAAACGTGCCAGCTGTCCCCACTCTTTAGCTTTCTTGGCCAGCTTTCTCCTCGTCCACTCCCCCATTAACATCTCTGAGTGATTTGCAAAAACGTCGCCTTGGCTCCCCTCGTTACCAGCTTGGAGATGCTCGAGGCAGATTAAATAGTGTGAGGGAAAGCAAGCCATTGCAAATTTCTCCTATGATTTTATTATTAGCACAATGATTCAACACTGCTCAGCCCTTCTGTTCCTCTCATACAAAATAATTTTGTTGAAATCACCCCACCTTTTTTTTTTTATGACTGAATACCTCACAGCAATGAAGTGTTGATTGGCACGACTGCGGTTTCCTGCCTCCTGCCAGTATCTGTTATAGCCATCTTCCACAGTCACTCACTCGTGAGCTAAGCCTTGGCTCTGTGCAGATTGCTTGTCTAGAGAGGTACAAAAACCAAATCATTGTGAGCTCAACCGTCAAGAGCAGCAGAATATTCTGTCAACCAGAGCCAGCGGGAGACAGATCAAGGCAGTGTGCATTCTCACATACCTTCTGCATCCTCCAACGTATTTCAGCAGATATGCCGCTTTATTTAAATATCTGTCTGTTCGTGTCCTTATTTTATCAGTGCCCTGACTGTTTATGCTTTGGCAAAGACATGAAGGGAGTGAACCACAGTGTTTGCCTAGAAAATGAGAACACCCAGTGGCCTTAAGCTTCTCTTAGCCCCCGACCCCCCTTGTCACAGGGAGAATTTGCATACCCTCATATCTAATCTGAAAAAGCTTTTTGCATACAGGTTATATTTCCCTGGCTGTTGTATATACTGGCATCATGTCAGCAGTGAGCACGTAATTTATGTAACACACTTATTTGCATTCACAGCATTAGTTTGCTGAGGGTTTTAGTTGGAAGCAGAATCATAATATTCTCTAGGGCTCTCGTCTCATTCATGAGGTCGTTGGGTCCATTTGCAGGTAGCCAGGTGTGTGTTTAAAATAAAGTGGTTTTAAAAAAAAAAGCTTCAAAGCGAATGCCTTTTAAAGGCTACAGTTTTGCAACTCAAAGCATTTTGGGGCAGAAGTGTACAGCGCTGTCCTTCAGGGCTTTGGCTTTGTGTTCTTGACATGACATGTGTCAACAGACCATGCCTTAGAGGGATATCCTGGTCACAGTGAGGAGACACGTTATCCTTTATTGAGGTCTCTTGGATGATGACAACCAGCCCATTCTGGTCCAGGTCAGGGCCAAGCCATTCCAGACTGGTCCAAGCCATTTCAAGCTGAGCCATCTGTCTGCATAAGACCACATAGGACCAGATCGGTGCCAGCTCTCCAGATGTTCCACAGGGGTAAACAGGGTCACAAGTGAAGGATATTGGAGGCGGGAACAGCTGTGTAGCGACATTGTTTTCACCCCAGACTCCCCACTGGACACATCAGTCATGACCAGCGAATCCCAATGGCCTGTTGTCCGTCTGCTACCTTAGTCCCTGTTACACTCTTCCCTCCACCCCTCCAACCACCAACCCCATATCACTGCAAACCCAGGCACGTGCGCACAGGGCAAGGCCCAATTCCCCTGAGTAAGCAGGGCCACAGGAACAACTATAAAAAGATCAATACTGGGATGAGATGTCATCTGGTGAGCAGACCTGCCAACACCCCCCTAGGGAATGTCCCTGTCCCCCCGGTGTACTAACCCAGCTAACGGGAGGGGTGCCACCCCCCACAACCGGGCTGCCCTCCAACCTGCCTGACTCACTAACACCATCTGCTCAGGTTTGCGGGACAGGGCTTCAGGACAGCACATTTTTTGCACAGACACTCATATGGCATTTGTTTCACATGACTGCCTGTGGCTTTCCTACTGTTTTCCTCAGTATGTGATTGCAGGCAAAGTGTGTTCCATGTCCTGAGGAAAAGAAGAACAAAACAATGCCGAATTTGGTAGTTTGTTGAAATGCTTGACAGTTGTGTGGTTTTGCAGCAAGGGGACGGTGTTTGTTGAAAAACCACAGTGATTTCACTATATTTTAGCCCTCAGGTGGCATGTGTCAGAGAGGCATTTCTGTCATCTGTCACTGCATGTTAGTTTACACTCAAAATGGCTGCTGTTTAAACGCTTACAAAAATGTGAAAAATGAATCTATTAGTCAAGTATATTCACGGTGTTTACGACCATTAATTGTTCACTTTGACAACCTGTTTGCTGCTGAGGAAGCTGTAGTTCAAAGGGCTATCACACAATAACTGTATTTATATTTGTATATCAGGAACACATTCTATCATGTTGCCATCAGTTCTGAAGCAACAAAGTAATTAAAATGACTTACCCTTTTGCTTTCTCCAACAAATTTGGTCAGATTTTTCTCTCGCTTTGTGGTGCCTGTCACTATAATGAAGACGTTGAAGCTATTGTGTTAGTATGTGCGTGTGTGTGTGTGTGTGTGTGTGTGTGTGTGTGTGTGTGTGTGTGTGTGTGTGTGTGTGCAATATGCCTACACTGAAAACTTTTTTGTGTCCATCTTCCGTTGTGTGCATTTGGGCATGTGTGTGTCTATGCGTAAGTGTCTTAGCTTGCAGAGTGATTTTAATGAGGGATGGGTTGGTCTGAGCTGATACCTCCCTGCCTCCATTAGAGCCCATTAGAATCATCATTAAGATAACCCGGTGCTCGCTGTGGCCCTGGCTTCCCAGCATTAGTATTAGAAACCCCTCTCTATCTTCTAGTGGTCGTAGTGAGACTTCCTTCAGTACTCGCCTCGCATTGTGTCTGGGAGAACAGGTTGCCACGGCAACATCACCCAGCGGCGACATTTCGACTGTGGATATTTGCTTCTTCGCCTGTTTGTCTGCCTGTGCCTTCAGTCTTTCTCTTTCTCTTTCGCTTGCAGGAATGAGAGCCTGACAGTTTAATCCAAATCCCAGACCCCTATAAATTGGGAGGTCTATATACGCCTGGACCCCGGAATTCATTAGGAAATCGTGACACCTTAGCCAGCCCCAGTTCTCGCATAAAACGCAAGAGGCGAGGGAGGGGGAGCTCAACAAATAAAAAAATAAAAGCTCTGCCCTGTCTTTTTATTGGTCTTTTTATGGGTGTTAGGATCCTTGAAAGATTAAGCAGGCTGTTAATAGGGACTGGATATTCCATTAGTGGGCTGCATGTCGAGTTCTCACTGGCTTGACAGCAGCTCCCGGCTCTTCTCATTTTTTTGTTACCGTCGAGAGTGCCCATGGAGCTTTTTTAATTGAGGCGCTAGTAAGCCTTCTGACTGAAGTACTGCTGCATCAGAGCCATAGATTAGAGCCGCTTAGAGAGCCTCATCTCCACCAGGCTGTCTTCTCTCTTCTTCAGTCTCTATCTTTCCCTATCCGTGTGTGAACACTTGCTTTCTCTGATTTTTTCCCTGCATGTAATGTTTCTCTGCTTAAAACGAATTCCACCACTAACGCTTAAATTAGTTGAGAAGCTATAGTAGTGTTTTAGCTATTGTAGTTGTAGCACTACCAGCTCCTCAGACTCAGTTTCTTTGCGGCCCATTTTGCTTTTCTTTTAACTCTGAGAGAAGTAGGGAATCGCCAAATGTCTTTTCTTTTTCATTAAGATTCATAAGTGCTTTGAGATTCTTTGTATGTGAAAGGTGTCGAGATGCTTTATTTTCTGCCACTTTTTGCTACAACAGCATATAATTACAGTCATTAAATTGCAACAGCCTAAGTATGAAAAGTCGTTGTTCAGTGGAATGCTGATTATAAAAGCTTCTTGTCTGTTGAAAAGACCCCTGATGAATGGTAAAGACAAAGTGGTCGAGTTCAGAGTGCTTTGCTGTGCTTTCCCAAATCCCCTGAAAGATCAGGAAAGGAGGATAGAAAGGCGCAGTGGCAGAGAGGCCAAGATAAGGGGCCACGATCTCCCTTCACAGCACAATTGAAACATAATTATTTCATGCCAGATTGTGTGCTCAGCAAAGCCCTGAATAGGGGCCGACATTTAACTTTAATTAGCTGTGATTTATTCATACTGACTGGATTGCGGGAAGAAATTGGATCATCTGATTATAGTCAAGCATGAAAATGACCTGATTAAACACTTAATGGAACCTAGGGAGAGGGAAACAAGAGGAACCTTGGACGGAAGACATTGGGACAACATTATATAGGAGGAAAGGGACCTATGTTGAACTTGTTGTTGATTACGTATACTCCTCTGAAAAAACAAAGTAGCAAACAGCTATCCGTGTATGGCTATTATCTGATTTAGGTGTTTTTGAATCAAACCTTTGATATGGCTTGACATCCGAGATGCGAAATACATCATTTACACCATCAGATGAACTTTTTTAGACAGAGGTTTACACATTTTCTGACATTTTACTCTTTCTTTTCTTCTCAGGTGTGCCAACGAATGAGAGTCCAGAGTCTAAGACTTGTAGCTCAGCCAAAGTATCAGGGCTCCAGCGCAGCCAGGAGCAGAGCAACAGTGAGGTGCCCTTCACACCTCCCGTGCCTAGCCCCACCCCGGCTTCTGCGCCGACGGGCTCCCCTGCCCCCGCTGCAGCGGCGGCCCCCCTCGAGCCCCCTAGGTCGCGCCTCCCCACACCGCCTCCTCTCAGTGTCAAAAAGGAGCAGCATCCTCCACCCCCTGTCCCTACCCCTCCCCTGTTGAGGCCACCACCCCACCCCCAGCCCCACCCTCCTCACCCACACTCGCACCAGGAGCCCCGTGTTCTTCCTCCCCCACAGCACCACGCAAGGCCAGTAATCAGCCACCAGGTGCATCACCCACTGTACAACAGCCTCCACGACATCAGGTACGTTGTTACAAGGGCACGGTTGGTTATAGGGGCAGGGGCACACAAGCTAGTGTAAAACAGCAAAAACAAAAAAAAAACACTACTGAGTGAACTCATGCTATAACTGTAACACACTGATGCTGTGTTTCTATGCCTGTGTAAGAGCTCTAGAAATCTCTGTTTAAGTCTATACCCAGGGAGCTGTGTCACCTTCACTATTTCACCTTTTGTACATAATCAAGGTTACACTACAGACAATGCCACTTTCCTTTAATATGTACCTGCCAGTCTAGTGGAGACAGCAATAAAATAAACTGCAGCAATTTCCAAATTAATATAATGTAGTCCAATGCGACAAGATACTGTACAATTCTCTACACAATATTGACTGTTTTCATGCGGATATTGATTTTCTGCCACACAAACTTGCAATAACCAGCTGTCAGATTTATTGTTTTTCATTGAGCAACACTGGTACATATAGCACAATCAACTATTTCTCATTTCACCTCATCCTCTCAGTCTGCCCTCTCATTTCACCTCATCCTCTCAGTCTGCCCTCACCTTTTTTTATTTCAATGTAAGAAGTTTTATTGGAAAATCATTCTTATGTTGTCAAAGCAAAGTGTCAAAGATATTATTAGTACAGCTAAACTAACACTGAGCTAGAAACAACACATATATAGAACAAATGTCCACAAAGTTATCACATGTGAACAAGCTGTACAATGTAGTAATACTTTCCCTGAAAGTATTATACTGCTGTATGTGTATGCATGTGTAACTGAATAAAATACAGTATGTGTCTGCATTATTTTAAAAGAGAATTATATCTTGTTGTCTCTCATTTAATCTTTAGCCACAGCAGCAGTCCAGTGGGGCTTCCCAAACAGCATTTGCCCCCATCCCCTCACCACCACCTCAGCGGGCTCCCATCCTCAGCCCCTGCCTTACCTCTGTCCATAGCAAATCTCTCTACCTCGCACTATTCCTCCCTACGGAGCCCGGCCCATCGCCATCCGGCCATGTTTGCAACCCCAGCCACACTGCCGCCACCACCGACCTTACCGACCAACAGTTTAGTGGTGCCTGGGCACCCCGCCGGCACCCCCTACCCAGGTAAAGCCGCGCACCTCACATGCTGGATGGTAGCTGCAGTGCAGACACAAACTCTTATATGGATACATGCTAGCTTTAGAAGGACACTGCCTTTCAGTGTTTGATTGAATTAGTTGGTTAGTTTTTTGACAAAGCGATGCAAACCTTGGTAATATTTAATGTACAAATTTTCATTTCTTTATCAGAAGTGTCCTTCTGACTTTTGTAAAGATTTAAAGTTTAGATGCATCTTTGAATATTGATGTGTAAGAGTATATGTATAGACTCAGAACATAGGCTGTGTAACCGTTTGTATAGCGACTTGACCATTTTATATTCCAGGATGTCTTATATGCTTAGTTGTACTGGACCTGCCTGTAGAGATCTGTATTCATATTACAATAATTTATATACATGTATGTATATATATGTATGTGTGTATATATATATATATATATATATATATATATATATATATATATATATATGTGTATATATATATAATGCTAGGAAACTAGTCTTCAACATTTAATAATTGGTTAATAATCTTACTATATAGAATATGTATTTTATGGTTTTTAAACTACTCAAGTGATTATATATGAATTGCTGAACTGGTAAGTGCTCATTTATTCAATTTTTACTTATTTATCCTTTGATTCAGCACAGCACAGTATATCCAAGGCTATTTTTTTCATTGCGTAATATATGTAAGTTTATTTCCTCCTTTACTGGTTTAATGCATGGAACAGAAATGGGCCTGACGTACTTTACTGTTAAATGGAAAAAAGCCCCCAGGCTTTTTAAAGTTCCTATGCAGTGAAAAGTAAAGGATAATTTTGCCTCAAATCTCAAAAGCACTGTATGTTGCACATGAGATGCTAAAGCTAGTATCAAGACAGAAAATATCATAATAGGAATTTAGGCCAGTTAATGCAACAGCTTCAGATACCACAAATAAACTCATCAATAATAAATGATTTAATTGTAAAAAGCAATGCTATAATATTCTGCCTCTCCCGAAAGTCACATGCCTATTTTCACTGGTGGAGAACATCATACATCAATATCTAAGATGGACTCTATTTATAGTAGTGTAGAAATCTTAGAAGAGTGATGAGGTCACTGAACAGGGGCTTAGGTGGACCACTGGAAAATGTCAGCTAACAACTGGACAGCCATCACAGCTGGAGACATCTTCAGCGTACTGAAAGCAGCACGTGTTGAAAAATGGTGCACTCAGTCAGCAATCTGATGCAAACTTAACAACCAGAATTATGTTTTCTCTTGCCAGCAATATATGATTTTTAACAATTTGATAAAATGTTCAACAATTTAATCAAAACAAGCAATTTAATGCTGCAATCGAAGGAAACAAATGTCTCCAGCGATGATGGGTGTCTCCAAAATATGCAATAAATATGCCAGTTGTGCACTGACTTTCTAATAGAGGGCAAGGGTGTGTGTGTTTTCTGCTGGGATGACTCTTGGTTCTCTCTTGTCTTTAGATACCAGCCTGTTGATATCATTCAACCAACCAATCATGTATTGCCAGCCTCATTCGGGGATTCTGATTGGCACATTGTCACAGGCAACTCTCTTACCACCACCAATGAGTCCCCACGTAGAAAACCCTCACAGCATGAGCTGGAGAAACAGAGAATGCCAGGTGACTATTTTCTTTCTTCTCTTCTACCCTTGTTGTGAAGACTGACTGGGCGCCCGTGCCTTTTTTTTTTCTTGTGTCCCCCCTTCCCTCTCCCCACCCCTTTTTTTTTCTTTTTTTTTTTTTTTTTTTTTTGGTTTTCCTCGCTCTCCTTTCTTGCAGAGCATGACCTCCTGAGGCAGGAGCTGAACAACCGCTTCCTGGTTCAGAGTTCAGAGCGGGGCCGGGGGCCGTCCGCCTCACCGCTGGCCCCCGTGTCGCTCCTGAGGGCCGAGTTTCACCAACACCAGCACATGCACCAGCACCAACACACCCACCAGCACACCTTCACGCCCTTTCCCGCCAGTCTGCCCCCGGCCGCCATCCTCACCCCGCCCACCGCACCCCCCATGGTGCGTACCCAAGCCAGAAATGTGAGGATAAGTAACAAAAAGCTCCCGTAACTTCCCACCCCTCCCAATCTCCTCTTCAATCAATTCCTCCCTTTTTTCTTTACCCCAAAATTCACCAAATACGTCCCATAGATGTAGGAACCCCTCCCTTAAAAAAATATGACACTGATTCAGTTTGAATTTTGCTCTTAGATTTTTGCATACTGTCCTACTGCTAAAGTCTGAGAGCTGGTGAAAAGCTGGGAGCATCACATCTGTTCCACCATAATACAGAGAAATGCTGGGCAGAAATGACCCAGTGGCTGCCACCCCCATTTACATACATACACACACACACACACACACACATACACTATGGTACATCTCCTAGTCCGTCCAGCTACGTGCTAGTTGCTGCTCAGGTTGGTCAAACCAGACCAAGCACAGATATATTTTCATGTTTTGCAACTTCTTCATCCATAGGGAAATTATTTATAAAATTGCACATCCTCATTATGCATCATTTTTCATAGAGGCCCTTTTTCTGACTCGTACGTCAGCAGGCCAGTGTTACCCAATTTAATTTAAATTATTAACCTCCTTTTTAACTTTGACATAGATTTTGCTGTTCAGTGTTTGCTGAGGATCAAAAAAGGGTGATTGCCTTAAGGCAGGCTTTTCAATTGTTTGCATATGGCTGTGTTTTAAATGGTTTTGAATGTTTTCATTTGCCTGTTCACAAAGAGCAACAAAGGCGCCGTCAAAAAGATCTGTCTGTCTGTCTGTCTGTCTGTCTGTCTGTGTGTGTGTGTGTGCGCGCGTACGCGTGCGTGCGTGCGTGCGAATAAATGTATTCCTACAGACTTGTATATTTGTGTGAAAGTTCCTTGCCACGTGTGTGTGTGTGTGTGTGTGTGTGTGTGTGTGTGTGTGTGTGTGTGTGTGTGTGTGTGTGTGTGTGTGTGTGTGTGTGTGTGTGTGTGTGTGTGTGTGTGTGTGTGTGTGTGTGTGTGTGTCGTGTGTGTGTGTGTGTGCACAATTCAAAGGCAACCGTACTTGCCAATGACAAATTCAAAGCCTTGCAGTTGGTCAAATGACTTCATTGTGAATGAAGCAAGGATGACATCACTGCAAAACTGTTTTGAATATGTTTGTAATTGCTTCCCTGCTTTGACTGCCATCAAGTCTGGGGGTGGGGGTGTCTAACACTAGCTCTAAGATTAGTACAGAGGAAAAAAGGTTATGACTATACATCCATCATTTCGATCTCTGACAGTCAATTCAAACATTTATAGCTTTTTGGCATTAGTCTAATAGATCCAATCCATTGTGTCATGACCTCTGTGGTCCCGTAAAGGCTAAGATTATCCCCATCCTGTACATTAGAAATCAAAGCTCTGGTATTTATGACACAGTCTCAGATAAGACTAAAGGCTATGCCGTTATCTGGTCTGCTGTTCATTCCTGACATGGTAGGAATTATATACAGCACACAGTCCTGTCTTTGAAGATGAAAGAGCTGATTTTCCTCATCTCACTAATGCTGCCATTATGTAGCCCGTGATGTACATGCCCCCCATCTCTTGTTGTGTTGTTACAATGGAATTTGAGACTGCCATTAATGTCTTGTTTTTTTCCTTTTAATTGAAACTGTGTTGTTACTTAACGTATGCCTTTCCCCCTCCCTTCCTACCCTCAGTAATAATGCTGTTTTTCTTCTCTTTGTTGTTTGCTTAGAGAGCCAGGAGTAATGATGATGTTGTGGTTGTTTTTACTGTATTGTCATGAAAAGGCAAACCAAGTATGGCCCAGTTGTGCAGCCTCTCTCTCTCTCTCTCTCTCTCTCTCTCTCTCTCTCTCTCTCTCTCTCCGTCTCTCTCACTCTCTTTTATTTTCTACTGCTCTCTAGACGCTCCATGTCATTTCAACTATGTAACAGTCCTTGGCTAATGGTTGTAATTAATGAAATTATGAAGCCTCTATTTTTGTTTATTGTTCAACGCCCTCAAGCAGCTGGCTTGCCAAATGGCAGCACCAAGTGTCTTTTCTACCCCGCCCCCTTGCCCCTGCCATGTCTTTGGACAAGGAATATCCTTAATTGTTATAAGATGAAATATTAAGCTTTAATTAGCCAAAGCTGTTTACTCTAAAACTGTGACAGGCACCATAAATTACAAGGGCAAGAGTTTTGTTTTTTTCTTTTTTTCTTTCTCTACAAGGCCATAAAGCGGCCAAATTCCCTCTCCCAGTGTCAGACATTAAACAGGCCGCGCCTTCAGAAATGCAGAGGAGCTGTTTAATGAGCTCGGAAGCTGGCTCGGCGTTTCCTCTCAGTAGGCTGTCTGTCTTTGATTTGGGCCCATTATCGCCCACAAACACACAAGGCCGCCAACACCATCACTGCCGCTGCGGCCATTTTGCGTGCAGATGTGAATGGCCCTGCTTCAACAGAGGGCCCCTGACCCAAACTCTGTGTCTGCACCAGCAGCTTAGCCAACCCTGCACCCGCTCCCCCCTCAACCACCCGTGTCGCTGCACGCGCGCACCCACAGAAACACTGATTCATACCCACTCATTTTCCTGTTTTATGTAAACCCAAAACGTCTGCGCCTGCCAAGAGAGCTTTGTGAAAACACTCGCAAAAAGTACCTGCAAATGGTTTGTGTATTTGCGGAAAAGGAATAAGTTACTGTCACTTGTAATTAGCCTGTTTCAAAATAGAGAGCCAGTATTGGCTTGTGAACAGACGTACAAAGTCCCCATTCATACATGGGGCAACCTTCTCGGTTCTCTTCCTCCCTCTGCTCCTTCTCAGCTTACTGACTAGATTCCCATGTGTTCAGGACATGATCAGGACATAGTTTTTTTTAAGGCAAATTCCAATTGAAATCGTTGTGGTAGGCATAAGCTCTGCTTCCTCACATCAATTCAGCTTGTCAAGGTTACATCAGTTTCATGCTGAGATGTCCTGAATTAGCTTCTAACCATTGCAAATGTCATCTACTCTATTCAGTTTCAATCATAAAAGACAGACACACAGGATGCTCTATATGTTCTTTCCATGATTTTACGCACAGAGAAGAGGCCTGTTTTTTGACTAAATCCCTTTTGAAGTCTGGTTTTTTAACACCCAAATCAAGCTGTATGTCTCCACGTATTGCGCTCTCATCTATACCATCAAGGCTCATTGTAAAAAAAAATAAAAAAATAAGCCATAGCAGTCAAAAGCAATTAGATTCACATTTCTACAAATTTTCCAGTGAATAGAAACAACTGGTCTGGTTTTAAAATGGTCTGATTCCCAAGCCGGGCCTCCACGCCCAACGTCTGTATGCTCAATTGGAAAATCATGCAGGCTGTCTTCATCTTGGCAGTCTGCTAAAGCGGTCGTATTGTTAGTAATTTAACTGCCTATCTGACCATGCAGTTTAAGTAAACCCATGACCGGTGCAAGCCAGCTGCTTTACTCTAGGGCTTATTATTCTGGATCAAAACCCTGCTTATTACCAGTTACAGATGTTGATCATGTGTTTTGTTTTTGTGATGTAAAAATAATGAGACCTTATTATTAAAGAAAGCTTTTGCATGAAGGATTTTGGTAAAGTAGATCATTTTGTGGGCTTTTTCTTTCTAATTCTTTCCTTTCCTATCTCTTCCAGTTCGACAAATACACCCCCAAACTGGACAATCCATTCATCAGACATTCAAATGTGAGTTTTTTTTTTATTTAACATCTCTAATTTGAATTTGTTATTTGCATTTGGCAAATCAAATATTTTACATATTTGAATGTTGCCATGACAGCATTTATTGTGGCTGTGGTTTTGCGTGTACATTATGCTTGAGTCCTGTATGTATCTCTGTATGATTCTGTTATGTGTCTTTTTGTGTCTTCCATCCTTCCTCTTCTCTCCCCAGTTCTTCCCCTCCTATCCCCCCACCATGCCAGGCATGCCCCCGCTGCTCCCACACTCAGGACCCTTCAGCTCGCTGCAAGGAGCCTTCCAGCCCAAGGTCAGCCCCACATCCCTACCCTCAACCCACGATCTACAAACAGGCAGAGAATTAAAGGAAGCACGGGCACAAAATAAATCACATAAGCTTGTACACAACTGAAGCAAAAACTCACTTATAGCACACTTTTTTTTTCTTAACTGGACCTGAACCAGGGTCAGCTTTGTGCTGACCTGAGCTGTGACAGGCCATGCCAAAGATAAGAAAGTGATGCCTGTCTGCTTTGGAAAGCAAAGGAGAGAAGATGCAGCGGCGGTGGGGATGCGAGGGATGGGAAGGGGTGGGAGGGTGTGAGTCTGTCTGGCAGATGCCCAGCGGCTGTGACCCGGTGTAAGCCACCAATCAAAGCTAGCCTAAATCCGCTGGCCCTATTCCCAGGGGGCTCCGTCATGGAGGGGCCCTTTTGTCAAAGGCCCCTCCAGATGGTTCAAGGAACAGTCTTATGCCTCCAAAGCCCCTGCTAAGTATTCTTGGAGAGGAGCTTGTGGGGGGAGGGCTAGGGATGTGTATTTGTTTGTGGGGGCTGGTGACCCAGGTCACGCTGCAGGATCCTCATATCCCTGATGTACAGTAGGGATGGATTAATAAGGCTGATCTAGGCACTTGCGCTCCAAAGACTTAAAGTGGAGATCGGAGAGATCAGAGATGTGTTACTGTGGCAAGGCTCAGGGCCTGCAGCATTATTGCAGTTTTATCTACTGACATCAGCCATACAGTAGCAGTTGTTGAGGATTAGTGTGCTATAGTGCTACTGAAGGAGGATATAAAGTTCGAGTGATGCTGGCATCACTAGCTCAAGGATCTCCATGGTTTTGAAACCATGCCACTGACATCAATGCTGAGTTGTTCTAATGTATATCTACATTGCGTGTGAGAACACTGAGATAGTGAGAGTGAAAGTTAGGATTATAATTCTCAAAGGGAAAAAATTACAATTAAACAGTGCTTTTCCTTTTTATGATGGCGTATATGGGATTAAAATACCTGCTAAAGTTTTGTGTATGCTATAGTTTCTTTCTTTTATCTATAAATATTTTAACTACTGTAAATCTGGTTGATCACCAAGCATCTCTTTCCCTTTGTGTCTCTCTCTCTGTCAGGCATCTAATCCCATCGATGTAGCGGCACGTCCTGGAGCAGTACCTCACACACTCCTACAGAAGGATCCACGGGTAAGCATCAGGCCGAATGCATCCGAACGAATCTCTCCCGCTCTGCTCCTTCTGGTGAAAGCCACACATGTGCCGTACATGCAGTATGTGTCTCAGAGAGACGTGAATGCATGTATTTGCATTTTATGAGACAGTATTTCTCCTCATGCATCTCTATGGACACATTTATCCAAAGTGCCTAAAAGTAAAGATGTGCATTTTTTAAAATGGAAAGTCCCAGTGTGAATTGCCTCCCAACACTGGTGATTTTTGAGCTCTGCAGAACTGCACATTTTGGCTACTTATCTTTGTTGTTGGTGATTATGATTGTCTGTTTGTCCATACAGATAACAGATCCATTCAGGACATCTGTTAGGGTAAGTGGTCGCCTTGTGCATCTTTTGTTAAATGTTTCATCTCTCTGGCCAGGCCACAAAGTCTAAAACTGCAAATTCTTCAACAATTTCAGATCAAGGAAATGCAGGGTTTTGGCTGCATTTAAGGTTAGCTTTGAGGTCTCTATTGGGCTAAAGTCGGGGTTAGATTTTCTTAATCCGTTGCCTGGTTGAAAATTCTGACGAGTTCCCACTTTGTAGTTTGGCCAGAAAATCTCAATGCCAGAATCCATTTTTAGCTCCCTATATCAAAGCCAGCAGGCTAACCTCAGTTTCTCTCTAAATTTTTAGAAACCTGGCAAGTGGTGCGCAGTGCATGTCCAGATCGCATGGCAGATCTACCACCACCAGCAGAAAATGAAGGTGCGTGAGATGGATAATGATGTCTTGCAGGAATCTTGCTGTCATTTAAAACCAGATAAAGTGTATTGCTAATGGAGTAAGTAGGGCTGATCATGTCATAGTTGGATTTTTGCTTGTAAAATGATCTATAATCTTGTTACTGGATTCAGAGAGACCATGTGGGTGGGAAAAGGCAGATTACAAAAAAGAAACAGAAGGCTGTAATAGTTAATAACGATCGGAAATCCAACAAAAATATGTCTTAAAAATACCACATTCTCAAAAATACAGTAAGAAGGTTACACTTCCTAAGCATAAGGTCTTATGCATGGCTCACTCTGCTTAAAGAAAAATGGGCAAATCATAAATTGACACAATTATAGCACTCAGGTGACTGAATTAGCAGTTGACGTAATAGTTTTATTGACCAAAATGCAACAAGACAAAAAATGCTTGTCTGCAAATACTCCTCTTACTGACGGAGGACGGTGTGGCCTCGCCATGGAGATCCTCTGCTAATGCCACTGGCCCGGTGGTGTCAGTTCTTCTTGGGCCTTGAACCCCTGTTACCAAGGATTTAGTGTCCCTAATCAGCTTACATATATTTGTTATAACACAGTTGGATTGGAGACATGGAGCCTTTGTTGATGTATCTGTCCTTCTCTGATCTCTCACCCAGTGTAGCCGAGGGTAAATCCCTCTGACTCTGCCGTTGGAAATGTGTGGTACTGTTTTCTACCGACCTAATTTTCTTTGTCTGTCTCCCTCTCCTTTTTCTCTGCCTCTCTCGACTACAGCAAATGCAGCTGGATCCTCACAAACTAGACATGAATGGGAAGCTGGACCTGTTCAGTCGACCCCCAGCTCCAGGAGTCTTCCCTGGGTTCCCGTACCCCCATGACCTGGCACGACCCCTCTTCTCTTCCACAGGTCAGTAGGGTCTCCCAGTACCCTGAGGAGAGAACTGAACTGAACCCTCAAAGACAAATCATTCAAAAACACTAAAATGATCCCATTTTCGAATCAGTCCGATGCCAGTTTTGTCTTTATGCAAATGAGCATTTATAGCCACATTTTGAAATTATTCCTCCGCCACTGTAATGAAATGGCATCATTTTTTTCTCTCCTCTCATGTAATGTTCACTTAATTATAGAGCTTTTGTAGCAAATGTTTTGCCAGTAAAGGGAGTCAGATATGTCTATGAATATGGATGACTCTCGGTTAGGTAATTGACTGATTTGCCCTGCGTTGGAGGGCAACAAAGAGGCGAACGCCCTTTGACTGGTAATTATGCAGTGGTGTGTCAGAGGCACTCCTGTAATTGGTTCATTCATTAACAATTCATGGAATATGGGTGATGGTAACAGTGTTTTGTGAAAGAGGCCAGCTTCAGGAACTGACCTCAATAAGCCACTATAGATTCACACACAAACATGCAACAGCTCAAATAAAAGCTAATTTGCTCCATCTCTAACTCACATATATATTCAACAGGTTTGTGATGCTGTTGCAGAAAAATACCTGTGGATATTTACTCACATTTACATTTTTAGTCCTGGCTAATCACAGGGGTCAGGATTGTGTTTGTTTTGGATGGAGAATAATCTCTGCATGGCTAATTAGAGAATTTATAACTGTCTGATTGGATAATAATAACACTGTTACATCCTGTCCATTCTGATAGGCTCTGGCCACCCAGCTCCCTCTCCATACGGCCCCGCCCCCCACCCCAGCGGCTTCCTGCCTCCGAGCCATTTGGCAGGTAAGTGTAAGTAACTCCATGTTCAATTTTTTTTTAGACATTTATCTCCTCCTCTTTCTCTCACTCTCTATCTCTCTCTCTTTTGCACTCATGTTTTAAACACATTACAAGCCACCAAGGGTAATTTAAAGCCTAGATATGTCTAGTTTTCATCTCAGGTTCATTTGAATGTTAATATGGAGTCCAGCTGGCCACTGTAGTCAGTGGGTTGCGGCACTCCTTGAGTACATTCAGAGTTCATGGTAATGGAGAATGTAGCCATCCCATAATCAGACAGTATGATTCATAACACAGCCTTCAATAAAATAGCTAGCCTAGTATTCGGTCTCCCCTCATTTGTTTAGACAACCAACATGCAGAGCCGCAGCATACACAACACTATTTTCTACATGCTTCCAAAGTTGATTTTGTAGTTCACATGAAGAATGGAAGGAAGATAGTGTTGTTGGACTTATTTGTGCATTTATTTTTTTATGCATTCATTTATTTTCCTCCATTCTATCTGAGACACTGTGTGGGTTCAGAGTGGCAAGTTGATTTCATGGAATAAGCCCTTGAGTCAATCCATTTTGTGCTTATGAATACATGGTGCACTGAGGGGGAAGATTTAGCGAACTATTTTTTTTCTTTCCTGTCCGGGGAATTCATGTGTGAGGCAGAGGAGATTTCGCAATTGTTGTCTTTTCTGATATATCAACAAGCCGCAGAGCTGAAAATCCTTAAACCCTAATCTGTTGAGAAGTTCCACATTTCCTGATGGATTTTTGCTGAATTAAAATGGGACTGCAAATTAACAGTTGATGAATGTTATTCACTGACTTCTCTGGGTAAATATTTGTGCTATTCCTATAAATTCGAAGGCTCTAGTGTGCGTCAGCGGAGCCCATCAGACACTGATTCTCCAGTTAAATCATTGTGGTCTGTCTAGCCTAATTTTTACAGCCTCCAGTTCCCCTGTCCTACCACAGTCTATTTCCATCTCAGCTCCAACAACTCAAAACTAATTTCCCCATCAAGCAGCGTTGTTCCATTAGCCCCAGCAAGGTCAGAGACACTCCACTCCAGTTAGTGGCAGTGAATCCAGCATCCAAGTGACCTGGCTACTGCAGGATTACCAGGCAGAGAGCTAGGGCGGCAGCGCTAAAAAACCACAGCTCGCTTGTAAGAGAAAAGCCGAGTGGAACGGGTTGGTGTTGGGGTGAGCACCGCTAGCCAGCCCCCCCCTTTGCTAATCCCTGTTTGGCATTTTACAGATCCTTTCAGTCGCTCCAGTTCCTTTGGCGGCCTCGGCAACCTTTCAAGCAGTGCCTTCGGAGGATTAGGCAACCCCTCGCTTGGTAAGCGCTGGCCCCCTCTCCTCCTCCACCGCTCCCCCCTTCAATCTGGCCCCTATGGCCAGTAACAGAACAGAGCAGGGCAGCGTTAGACCACAGGGAGAGCCAGGAGGGGAGGAAAAAAAATTCAAGACACTTAGCTCTAGTTTCTGTGTCAAAACAGCCATAGCCCAGGGAAGCCCAACTAGGCAGTTCAACACACCACAGCAAACCTCCTCCCTGCCTCCACTTCATCCACCAACCATGTCCCCAACAGCCTGGCTTTAATCTGGCTGCGCTGCTGCCAACAGGCACTCTCAGGTCCGCTGTTTGGTGGCAGTTCATCAATTAATTATTTGACAAGCCCCTTCTGCACCACCATGGAGGGCTTTCTCTTCCCCCCCTGCATCCTTCTCTCTATGCCTTTCTCTCTTTCTCTTCATCCCTCCTATTTTTGTGTGCCAAATCGGTCACCCTGTTGTGAAAATGGATGTGATTGGAATAGACATGCTGTGGAATGCTAAGGTCTCCCTTGGCTTTTCACAGCCCTCAACTCCAGAGGGCAAGTGAGTCTCCCCTGTTCATCCAGACCAAAAAAAAAGGGAGGGGGGAAAGCCCTTTAGTCCAAAAGCAAATGAGTAGTTTTTTTTTCTCTGGTGGGGGGAGCCATTAACCTCTAACTCTTTCAAACAGCTTCAGTGAGAGAACCTCCAGAGACAAAGACAAAAGCAGCTTTTGTTGTCGAGTCTTTCTCATCTTATGTGTCCTCAAGAAGGTTTTGTGCCCAATTAACTTACAGTGGGTCCCACGCCTTTCTTCCCCTTCCCTCCAGGGTCCAACAATATGTTTGGCACCAAGGAGGGGCCAGGAGGACTGCCCACGTTTGGCAGCCCCCACCACGACACCTGGAACAGACTTCGACGCACCCCGCCGTCTTTCCCCACTCCGCCACAGTGGCCGAAAACCGCAGACGCAGAGAGGAGCAGCTCAGCCAACAGCCATGAGAGAGAGAGAGAAAGAGAACGGGAAAGAGAGAAAAGAGACCCGTCTATCGGTAAAGAGGAGAAGGATAAAGACAGGTGAGTTTGAGGCAGATGCAAATATACTTTTTATGTATTATTATGTAGGTATTATTTAGAGGATATTAGCTTTCAGTTTAACTCAGTGAAAAATAATATTTCTGCAGTAATTCAATTACCCTTATTTTTGCTTTCATCACAACTCAACATTTGAACCAGGACTTCACTTCAATGTATTTTTTCAAAGCATCATGTGATTCCCCCAACAGGGTAACTTAGATTTATTTGTTGTAATAAAGGTATCTCACTCACAACAAATGTAAAACACAGAAATTGTGAATACTTGAAAACACATAACAAAGCTACTCAAATACATGATTGCAACTCTAAAGACATGGCCACAATAATGATCCCCTTTACAGCTAGCATTACCATATATACAAGATGGTTAAATTATCTTTGGACAGAACAAAAACACTTGAATCCCCCAAATTAGCTCTGGAGATGGAAAGATTAACTGTTAAAGACAAATATAAAATGTGACAATTCTCCACTCCATTACTAGTATCCGTGGAAACGGAGATAAATTGAATCCGTGGATCTAACAAGGAAACACAAATCAAACGGGCAACAGGCAGCTGTGAGAGAAGCTATCTGTCAAAAATTAATTGGAAGGATCTCTGTGGATGATATTCTACCAAAAAAAACATAGGTTTACTTTCAAATTTAAAACCAGTAATCATTATCAGGGGGAGACAAGAGCAGGGTAACCTGTATTTTTAAACAGAATTATAAGTCAGATTTGTTTTGGGAAACTTAATCAAGGTAAATTATGCCAACCCACCTACATGATGCTTGTCTTAACTGGCTCTTAACATTATGTTATTACAGGGATTCTGTGGATCGCAACCGCCACTCCAACCGTTCATCTCCAGCTTCTGCACCAGTCAGCTACCAGATCAGCAGCCTGATTCGCTCGAACAGCCAGAACTCCAGTGATTCGGGTCGACATCACACTGGCAGTGTAGACCGGGTCCGTGAGGCAGAGAAGGAGCTGCTGGAGCGCCACAGAGAGTCTTCCACGCTGGCTGACGTGAAGGTGAAGGAGAGCCGCTCGCCTGGCAAGGAGATGCTCGAGAGGAGATCCTCAGAAGACTCTATCAAACCCGCTCAACGTTCTCCTTCTCCATACTCCAAGGCAGTGATCAATGAGCAGGGCATGAAGATGGCAGGTGGTCCCCCACCTACACTCAAGGACAGCGAGAGGAAAGAGCCCCCACCTGCTGAGCTCCTCCACAAGGTTAAAAATGACATGAAGATTAAGGAGGAGAGGAAGGAGGAGCAGGAGGTCATGGTGGTGAGTTCCGAGCCTGCCCCCCAACCGCCAGGCCAAGCTCTTCCTGCTCACATCAGCCAACCTGCAAACCCGCACCACCACCACCCACCTTTGTCCCAGCAGCCCCCTCTTCCCTCACCACGTGGCAGTGACATCCCAGCACCTGGCATGCATGGTGTCCCCATGGCACACTCTCTGCCCATTTCCATGAGTGCCATGCCCCAGATGGGCAGCCTCAATGTGCTAGACCGTGCTCGCATGGCTCCTTTCATGGGAGTGAGCCCCCTGGCAGGAAGAGAGCGCCTGCCCCACCCTGCCTTCCCTTGGGACCCACTTAGAGAGGCCTATCGCAGCCTGGACCTGCAGCGGCGCATGGACTTCCAGCTCAGGGCCGAACAAGGACATCGCTTCCCCAGTGTGTACGAGCAGGAACGAGCCTACCGCGAGAGGGAGGCTCATGACTACTCTCACCACGAGCACCTGTTGGAGGTGCGCAGGGAGCATGAGAGGATGAGACAGCAGGCAGAGGAGCGAGAGCGCCTCCACCTGAGGGAGGAGCTGGACAGAGCACGCCTCCATCAGCTGCACCAGTCCCCCATGGAGGGCCATCTACCCCACATGCCCCCCTTTATGCCCCACCTAGGTGGCATGCCCTACCCTAGACTCAGCCCCTCCACAGGTCACAATGGCCCTTTGAACAGAACACCCCCCACTGCTGCACTCAGTGCGCCCCCGCCCCTCGTGCCAGCCGGCAGTGCCAGGCCAGCCTCGCCCAGGAGGACTACCCCCCTCACCACCACCCAGGACCCACGGGACTACTCCCCATCTCGCAACCCCAAAGAGGTAGAGGCTCGGTAGCTTCTTAGAAAAGTGCACAAAGTCTTACTAGACACACTCACAAGTCTCACTCCCCTAATCTGAAATCTTCTTGTGAACAAAATGCACTGCTCTTCACCCGAGAAGAGCAAAACTTCCTAAGGGAAAGGGTATGATTGTACAAAGTAAAGGTGTGTAAGGCTGATTAAGCACATGCCATGACTTTATTTTTAGTGGACTGGAGGTTGAATAATGTCGGTAAAGAGAACACAAATATGTGTATGTTTATATCCGACTTAAATATTTGATAATTATTAATATATTAATCCAATACCTTTTTTCAGCTTTGTGCGAAAAGAGAGGTCCTGAAATGAGTTTGTACATTTCCTATCCTTGTTCCATGTATAGATATCATTTCTATGAATTTTATGTATTTTGTGCATTAGTCACGGCTTTTACAATATTTATCCCAGTTGATTGTGAGACATATCCATTATGACACACTGTAAAGACTGGATTTTGGTTTCAACCTTCAGTAATTTAACCTCATGGTACCAGGATATCCTCAATGATGACAATGTACAATGTTACATTACCAATTTTTTTTGTTAATTTGTTTTGCCTTTGAGATATGCAGATAAATATATATTATGAGGTCTTTGTTCAGTCTCTGTAAAGAAAACTGATGTAAATATCTTGTTGATATTCCTTCGCTGCAAAATTACTGTGTAAATTTATTAGTCTTTTTAACCATTTCTAGAAAAACAAAATTAAATGAAACATGGGGAGTCACTTCCCTGTTGAATATCATGGCAACAGAAAAGCCTGGCCAATTGACGGGAAGTATGACGGGAGGGTGTTGTAAGGAGGCCTAGAAGGATCATCTGCAATCTATGCAAAGCAGCACACAGCACCCTAATGAAGAGATCACGTGGAGGGAGCAGACGATACTGGTGAAACGGAGAGAAACTTGGATTAACACATGTTTATATTGTCAATGAAATAATGATGGAATTATTAAAAGACTTCCAAGTCACAAACTGGACCAGCCCCAGACAGACAAGAAGGACACTTTTTAGTGGGCAGCAAAAGGACTTTCTCTGTCAACCTTGTGGTGTTGTGCAGTTGTTTTTCTTAGACTCTTGTATACAAAACAAGTAGAGTTTTAGGCGTGCAAAAAAATGAAAATGAACATTCATGGTTTAAAATGTACGGAATAAAGTTTGGACCTAATGTCATACATTTGTTGCTTGTTTTTCATCCTAGTGCTCACTGTCAGTACTGACTACAAGTACTGAATTTGTCTGTAAGCCAAACCTGCTGAGTGGAATGCTGATGTGAGGTTGATAGGTCTGCCAATAACGCTTTTGCCACAGTTTTCAGCATTAGATCATCAGAGTATTTGCTCATCTGATATCAAGCTATTACTTTAAAATCATAAAGGTAACAGACTTGGCTGCCATAGTAGCCTAAGCCATCAGATCATTTGACCATAATCTGTCATACATGGGCTGCAGAGCTCTTCAGAGGGGATCGATGAGATTGGGCCAAGGCAATATAGGGAGGGACTAATAGGACATTGATTTCGTATGAAAGCAGGTTTTGAGTGTTTGTGTTGCAGGTAACCGGTATTGACTGGCAGCCCAGCGGCATATTGACCCGCGGTCTGGACTCATTAAGAGGAGCAATGCCTGGGAGGCAGGCTATCGGATGGTAGAGGAGAGGCTCTTCTTTCTTCTCATAAGCCTCCTCTCCTCATGCACACCACTCATCTGCTTTTCTAATGAGGCCGGAAGGCGCTCTGGAGTGGGCTGCTGAGGGAGCCCTGAGGCGCCCCATCCTGTTATTGACAAGACCTCGGCTGTGCTTGCCGCCTGTCCAGAGACGGCCAATTCATCCTGATAATGCCCCGACTACTCATCTCGCTGCTGTGTGCCGTGAGACCCACCAATCCTGTCCCATGGTATCAGCCCATAATGACAGCGTGGATCAAACCGCGGCCAGGTCATTAGGGGATGTTATTGAAAATCAATGGCGCTCCTGTGTCTCACACACTCCAGCAGGGTTTTTTAAAAGGGCTCCTTGAAAAGACTGTTTGCCAGAATGGGGCTGGCATATTGGGAAGACTTAAATCACTATCACTTTCAATTTAGGCTCCCAGTAATTGAGCCACATATTCCTCCGACGGGTAGCATCTGTCAGTGGCCAGCGCTGTGTGCTTTTAGTCCTAATCATCTAGTCAACAACAGGTACTTAACCCCTGTACTTGTTACCGCATAGTGATTTTTCCTGTAACTATTATTTACCAAGCAAGCTTTGGTAGAAGAAAAACACACACCTTACATTTCCCCCCGACTCAATCACTGTCCTGTCCTCTATCCATTTTATGCCTGAGTGTGGAACGGCCCTCCGGAGATGAAAAGCTCCATCAATTTCACTCATCGTCTGGCAAGGTCAATTTATTTCAGCACACAGTCCATCATCAGATAGGAATCAATTGACACATTGCCTAGCATATCCAACCCAAGGTGGATTATTACAGGTTCTGCAATTGTCAGCTCTTTTCTACAGCTATTCTTCATGTGTCCAAGCTTTTTTTTTTTTTTTTTTTTTGGCTGGGATTGTTCATGATTTTCTGTATTTACTTGTTCATAATTTGGAACACATTTCCTATTTGATGGAACATTGTTACAGTGACAGGCCTTCATATAGCAGCTTGTCACGAAAAAGCAACTGTGATACAAGATTGTGGGTTGTTGTTTTTTTTTTTACACATTTCACCACTATAATCCCAATTAATAGGATACGGTGGTATCTGAGGTAAGACATTGTTTTATTGTTCCACTAATCCTCTTCATTTATCTGTGAGAAACCTCAATGCTGAGGGTTTGGGATTGAATTTTCATGGTCTCAAATACCTCCAAAAAGTACTTGGCACAGAGCTCACCCCAGATTCAGCGAACAGTGGGACAGGCCTGAGGGGCTTTTATAGAGCACAATGGCAGCTAATAACACAGTGCCAAGCTAATAAGATGGGCAACAAATGAATGGTTCGGTCCAAGCTCCTTTTCTCTCTTGCTCACTCTTCCCCCGCTGATAAAACATGTATGAAAGCGTTTTTGAGCCGCTATGTAGTGGCTCCCTAGACTTTTTCCTCAGCGAGAGCTAATGCATTAGTTCCCATTTGAAGGCTGTTTTGAAATGGAGATTGGTAATGAGACGGGAGGCCCCCGCCATGATCACATTTGGATTGCTGGGGCTTCAGCTGGGCCTGGTGATTTGGGAGACCATGGCTCTGCTCGGAGTTCAAGCCCATCTCTCTGCAGGGGTTAGCAAACCCTGACGAGAGCCATTCTAAACCACTAAACTATATCTGAACTGTGAACTGAGGGAGAGTGCACCAAGTCAAGAGCTTTGGCTTTGGATCCCTGTCACGGCGCTCTTTGTAAACTGCATGTTGTTTTGACCACCTAAAAAGGCTAGCAGCATACATCCTTCCATGTTGCCATCTTTTTTTAGCCCTCAATGTCAACAGAGCGGCAGCTGACAGAAAGCAGGCCAGTCAGCGGTTAAGGAGCTGACTTGGAAACAGCCAAATGGTGTGAATTCCGGACCCTGGTGACAAAGTGCTGTCTAATGTCTTTGCACCTCTGGACCTATGACAAATATTCCGGCTGTCTCATTCCACCACCAAGATGGCTGTGCAAGGAGACCAGCCAAAGCAGCCTAGGAGAAAGAATATATTGTAAATCACTCACAGAGGAACCTCAGAGAGCACGATGTGAGACAGGGAGGAGTAGAAGAGAATTAAGGGAGATGGAAAAGGAGGAGGTCCAGAACAGCCACCAGCCAAAATAAGTTTTCCACTTTGATTCAATTTTGAGGATTTTTCCAGCCTTTAGTGGAACCTCACAATCTCCCACACTGGCCATATTATATACACAAGCCATAAAAATGAATAACATTTATGCAGCTGGGTGCATCTGGCAGCGATAGTCCTCTCATTCAGGGACCCACAGGATGGCACTGTGCCGCCACACCACCCTCTCTGTTCTATGTATGGGCACTAGACAAGAGAAGACTTAAGGGAGGGGTGGGTGGTGTAAAGGGAGGCTCTCAAATGCTTCGAATGAGTTTAAAAAAATAAGAGATTTCAAGGCAAATGGAGGCCATACGTGGCTCGTCCAATTTGGCACAGCCAATGCACATGATTAGCCGTAGAGACGTTAATCAAAAGTGGCTCAGTATTTGAAGGGGCGGTGAGAGGCACTGCCAGCTGGTGACAACATGGCTTGTGTGCACGGGCCAAGAGTGAAGTTTATTTGAATATGGATCTTGCCGTGACCGTATTTCTCCAGAGCTCAGTTAGCAGAGCGTTCCTTGGCTCATCACTGGGATCGCCTCAGAGCCGCTTGGCATCCGGGAAGGCGGAAGTTTTTCCAAGCCGCAGAATGAGAATTACGATTTAGTCCATCCCCTCTGGTGGTGTGGGCATATTCATAAGCATTTATTCAGTTTGACGCTGGCAGAAACGCAACACCTAGCTCTTGGCATCCATGTGTGAGGATTTCCTTTCCAATATGAAATTATGAAATTGACAGAAAGGTTGTTTTTACAGCCTATGAATTAATAACACATTTAAAAATAAAACATCCTATCTTTACACATAAAACCATGCTAGCCCTCTACTATAAACACAGAGCTTAAATGTTAAACTGTCAGTGTTCACTTAGAGCCGGGGCTCAGGTCGGAATACGACCACCAGTACTCTAAACCAGCAACAGCACTGTATCTGTCTTGACCTTTAATGAGTAATAAGGGTGGTTTTTGTTTGGTGCAATTTCGTAAATTACCAATAATTGAGCTATGTTTTTTAGATTAGATGTAATTAACAATATATATAATATATTAACATATACAGTTACTTTTATTATTAGGACTCATTATATAAAATATATCCCTTTCGGAGGCCTAATGATCTAAGCAACAAACATAGTCCTACTTGGTTGTGTGTGTGTGTGTGTGTGTGTGTGTGTGTGTGTGTGGTATTGAAGTTACCAAATGTTTCCCTTGTAAAATTTTTTATTTAGGAAACAAATCAATCTTCTTTAGGGGAGGGCACATTTCAGTGTGCATCAAGTGGACACAGTTTGCATGAATATATATATGATATTATTTATGATAATCAAAAGTTGCTAATAATACCTGCAGTCAGATCATATTTCAACACAAGAATAATCAAAACCAGCAGCGGTACTTGTAACCGTGGTTCAATCCCTGGACCAGCAGGAAAAATCTGGATGGTAGCCATAATGGGCTTACATTATACTAAACCTTATAATTTCCAGAATACCAAAATTTTACATTATGATTAGTATAAATACCTTCAGTAATGTCAAAAACCTAAAAAAAACATTACACATATTGAACATTTTATTAGTATTTTATTATGTTATGTATATTGGCGAGTGGCACAACAAAGTCTCACCATGCTCAGGTTTTAATGTGTTTATCAAAGTGAGATGTTTCAGTTTTAAATACATTATAGGTTGTTGTTATGTCATATGTCAGCCTGATTTAAAAAAAGAAAGAAAGAAATATGAAATCAGTGCTCAGACTGTAGCCAACTCCCATTGTTCACTTAAAGAAGCTGGCTCATAGAGCTGACTCGTTCATGAACAACCCATCACTACTGTGTGAGGAAAGTTAACTAACTGGAAATATTAGCTAGCTTTAAAGTTAGCTAATATTTTATATTATTTGTTGCTAACTTTAAAGTTTAATTTAAAAGTTATTTAAGTTTTTAGAGTTATCATTTTAATACTGGCCTCAAGAGTTCTATAAATACAAGCTAAGTCATTAATAATGAGTCAGTAACTTTTGATTGTTAGTTCAGTCATTTTGTCACTAAAGCAACTTGCACAGTAAAAATAAAGTGATGAAATTATTCTTATGCTGGCTGTAAATGCAGTACATAGTGAATGATACTCCAAACCCAGCCATGGTTGTCCAGGATTAATTATGGATAAATAAATCCTGCATTCCCACTTAAATTATCTCTGACTGCATCCTCTGAATCAATTTTTTCCTTCAAAGCAAACTAAACATACTTTTATAACTGAAAATGGAAATGCAGGTCAACCAAGTTATGTCAGCATCAAGGTTACTCAGTGGCAACCAATGATAAATCTGAGTTGGCGAACAAACAATTAGACAACAATGCCATATACTGAATGAT